AAAAGCAGACAGATGAAGAATTAGAAATTCCCTTTTCTAATATCATGCTTCTAGAACTGTGAAAAGGAAATCCCAACGTTTCAGTACTTCAAGAGAGCTTCTATTCTACACTAAATAGAATTAGAATTTTTCAGAAGCCCCCCCCCACTAAAAAACGAGATTTTTAAAAGACCAGTGTAGCTGGAAGGAACTCAAGCTAGTTCTAGTCAATATGGAATAGTCTTTTAAGCATGAAAAAATTCTCAGGCTGAAACAATGCACCCCAAAGCACTGAGAGTAATTCGTTCCACTGAGACAATTGCATCAAAAGAAGAAAAAAAATGTTGGAAGACATCAGTAATATGCTTCGTCCTTTGAGTTCATATTTAAAGAACAATGTCCAAGAGATGCATTACTTATGACCTCTGAAATCTCCTTCAAGATCCTTATGAAGAATATCCCATTAGCAAATTTATGTTAAAAAAGCCTGGGTAATTATTATTCTTCAAGAAGACAAACAGAGATTGTAGGTTTACTAAATACGTTCATGACTCTAGAACTTTTAAAAATTCGGATGATGGTGTTTTCTCACCTCCTTCTAAAGTTGTACTCAAGAAAACTGCAAGGCTTTTCTCCAAAAATAGCGTATAGTTAGATTAGCACGAAAAAATAAGAAAAAAAAAGTGTATGCCAACAAGAACCTGGCTGATCTAAAGATACAACCGGAAAAGAAGCCAGAAAAAGAGAAAATGATGACCCATTGCTCGCAGAATCTTTGCGAGAAATTGGAGAGGATTCAATTGGGAGAAAAACCTTCAGTAATTTTTTATGTCCATATGAAATTTAAAATCTTTGAAGTATCTACAAAAAGAACATAAAATCTAGACAAACTCTTTAATGCATTATTTTCAATTAAATCTACTAATGTAGAATCTGTTAGGGATTTTTCAGTAACAGGATTGTACCTCAAGAAATTGAAATCAAATCTTTCTGAAAATTCACTGAACAGTCTTTATTTAAGTGTGTATTTCAAAATGAAATATAACCTGATTAGTTTGCTTTTGACGAAATGCTTATGTTATTTCCCTTGTTTTAGTAAAGTCGTGATTTTTTTTGATAAGATCTTTATTTTCATATATTACATATATATTCAATTAAGAATGCATATATATGTATACATATATATATATATATACACGCATACACACACACACACACACACACACACACACATATATATATATATATATATATATATATATAAAGAAAGAACAGCGAGGTTTATAATCCAGAGTACTTTTACATTCATTTTTACAAACAGTGCTCGATACACAGTACAGTATAATATTATAATTATTTTTGATTAGTTTTTTTTTTTTTTTTTTGTGTCGCGATGAATACATATTTTAAATATATATATATATATATATATATATGTGTGTGTGTGTGTGTGTGTGTGTGTGTGTGTGTGTGTGTGTGTGTGTGTGTGTGTATATATATATATGTATGTATCTATTAATTAGTACATATACGTGTACCTACGTTTTGGCGTGCGACTCTAGTTTCCCTGGGTGGTGTTCCCAGCTAATCAGGCACAAAGTCTGTCTGTCTCTCTCTCTCTCTCTCTCTCTCTCTCTCTCTCTCTATTTATATATATATATATATATATATATATATATATATTGCTTAATGAATATTTTCCTATCATTTTTAAATTATTTTGTAGGATTGAATAAATTTCTGCGCTAAAATTTATTACTATGTACTGAAAGATTTTTTTAAACTAGTTCTATAGTACGATTTGTTTTTGCTTGAAAAAGCTTCAAGATATAGTTTACTGAATTGAAATTATATATATATATATATATATATATATATATATATATATATATATATAATATTATATACCTCCAAGGATTAAAAAAAAAATGAACATACATGATGAAAAAAATGCCCCAAACCTAATAAAAACAAAACAATTTTTTTTAACGCATCAGTAAATAGCTATTAATGTTAACAACTCAGCATAAATAGTTATTAATTGAAAAAATTAGTAATTAATGTATAATATTATCCATAACTACATGTACAAGGATGTTGTTTTTGAGTAAAAGTTTAAAAAAAATAACCAGAAATACATAAAAAATGTGTATATTGTTAAAAATTCCTTTTTCCACAATATAGCTATTTGTGTCGTTATAATGCTTATTACCTAATCAATAATAATACTGAATAATTTTTGTTAAACATTAAAGTATATCACATTTCCCTCATAACATTCGCGATCTGTAAATTGTATTTGTTAATCCTTTTTAGACCATTCATAATTTTGCTTATTTTTTCTTCTTGTGTCAACAGGTGACCATAAATTAGTATCAGAAATTTTTGCTGTGAAAAACACATTGATTTGGGAATTCTTGCAAATAATTGTCGGATCTTAATTTTAACATTCAGGTTTTATTCACAATCTATAAAATTATTTGAGAAATGTTTCGTTTTTAGATAATCTTAGTAAAAATAGTTTTTACATATGTTACTCGCTAATTATTTAATTTTATGAAATTTCGAGAAATTCATTTTTTTATTGGATTAAACTTTTTATTAGTTGTAAACAGAACTTCTTGGAGAATTTAAATGATCAATATTTTTTTGTAGCATAAAACCACCAGTCATCAAAAAACTGCTCTGAATCGTAAAATAAAATAATGCAGTAAATCTAAGACATTATTTAATAAGAAAAGCTTTTAATTGATTTTATGGAGAAGATATATTATGAGCACTTCTGTCTTAAAAAAAATTTCGATGAATAATGAACTTTTAAAAAAATTATTTTAATTTTTGTTTTGATTGTAATTAGGAAAATTTATAAAGTTTTAAATATTTTAAAATTCTGTATCAATTATACCGGAAAGTGATATTGTTATTAAATAAAACCCATATTTAAATCTATATAAATAAATTCTATATTTACTAATCATAAATGGGAAGGCTTAAAAAATTCAGAGTACCTAAGTAATTAAAAAAAAAAACATTTGTTTGTATGTAAAAATTTGTCAATTTTTGTAAATACGGACAAGCTGATTTTTCATAAGGAGAATTACGTTGTACCGTGGGAAATGTAAATATGACCAAAATCAGTGATATTTTTAGCAATTTTAAGAAAAACTCATTAGATCAATTTAAATTCGTTTTGATATACCAAAAAGTGGTTTACTTATTGGAAATATTAAACTTAATCTATGTGATTGAATTAAAACTAAAATAAAAGCTTCAAGAAAGATTTTTCAGATTGTAAAATTCATTTTAAATCTTTGGTATCGCTTTACTTTGGAGTTACATACATACACACACACACACACACACACACATATATATATATATATATATATATATATATATATATATATATATATATATATATATATATATATATATGATAAAATATAGTTTTAAGGTATTCTATATTTATGGGTCGAAGTTCTTAATATCAAGGATAGAGCGTATGTAAATATAAAACTGGACATTGACAGAGGCTACAGTCTTTTCTCAAGCTAAACGCAATCGTCATGTGAAAGATTTGCTCCTATAACAATGGCCTGCATTTAACAGGAAACAGACAGTCGCTTCTGAATCTTGACTTCAATGTCTACTTTTATATTATATTATATTATTATTATTATTATTATTATTATTATTATTATTATTGTTGTTACTTCACACGTTTTGATTAGTGGCTACGCATATTTGAGAAGTCGTTCCGTTTTTTTTAAACTAATATACGGGTATCCACTAAAAATAACGTCCAAAGTAACAAAAATATGTCGGGTTATAAAATAAAATTCATATACATTTATTATATGAAATGCATTAAATCCCGCAAATATTTTAATATATTTTCTGTTTATACGTTTTTTATTATATTATTTGAGTAAACGCTCTGTTTTTTTGTTTTTTTTAATTAAACAGTATAAATTACATTTACCGGCCTGAATGTTCTAGAAATTTCGTAGGAAATAGGCGTCCTCCGACAGGAATCAAACCTGCATCTATACAGAACCGTTATTTAGCCTGTCGTGCTATGGCGGCTCAGTCACAGAAGACTTCCGGTTTAGTTGAACGGTAAGTACTTAGGAAAATAAAAATTATTTTAGAGAAACATTTTGGAATTTTTCTTAGTCAATTTTCTACAGCCGCTAAAAAAGTAATTCGTAGGCGTGAAAGAATTAAACTAAAATAAATAGACACAGTAGGGCTAAATTATTTAACCAAACATGCTTAAAAAATGTGTATATGTGTGTGTGTATGTGCGTGTGTGTGTGCATATGTTTGTGTGTGTTCACGCACGCGCGTGTGTAACAAGTTTCTTTGTGAATCAATCAAAAGATCCATTTTATTCAAACTCTCGTTTCCTCCCTCTTTGTCTTTCTCTTAATTTTTAAAACCTCTCTCTTTTACCTTCTCCTCTCTAGATTTCTCTTTCTCTTCCCTGTTTCCAGACCATCTATCTATTTATCTCAATTTGTTCAGATCTATCTATCTATCTATCTTTGTTGATTTTCTAAGCACAGCTCAGATGTGGCACAACGTCGAAAGTGTGGAACACCCAGTGAGAATCGAACTCACTACTCAGTAGTAATTAACCTAGCAATCTTGCTAACCATTATACCAGACTGAAGTTTCCCTATCTATCTATCTATCTATCTATCTAAGCCTCTTCATATCTATCTATAGATAGATATTTTTCTTTCTCGGCATATTCATATTTATCTATTTATTTATCTGTCTGTCTGTCTGTCTGTCTATCTCTCTATCTATCTAGCTAGCTTCGTTATGTTCCTTTATCTCTCTGTTTTTTTTTTCTTAACTTTCTATTCGATTTCTCTTCTAATTTTCTGTTTAGCTTATTATCATATACTGCTTTATCTATCTATCTATCTATCTATCTATCTATCTATCTATCTATTTTTAGATAGCTATTTGCTCACACCTTTGTATTTTACTTGAGTACACCTTCTCATTCCCTATCTGTCGTAAATTGAATAATCCCTTACATCAAATCCACGAAGACAAAAGTTATTTTCGGGCGAGAACAACAAACGAAACAAAAAGTTGAACAAAAAATTTAAAAAAGAAAAGAGAGAGAGACAGACAGACAGACAGACAGACAGACAGAATGATGTAAGATGACAGGACGAAGAACCTTCTAGAGTCATGGCGGACACAATCCTCGACAAAAACGTGCGAGGACAGAACGATACATATGTAAACTGAAAGAGGATTGATGTGCAAAAAAAAAACAAAAAAACAACAATATCAATAATAATGATGAAAAGAAGAAGAAGGAGGAGGAGGAGAAGAAGGAGAAGAAGGAGGTAGAGAATAATAAGAAGGAGGAGGAGGAGGTGGAGAAGAAGGAGAAGGAGGCTGTAGAGAATAGGAAGAAGGAGGAGGAGGTGGAGAAGGAGAAGAAGGTAGAGAAGAAAAAGAAGGAGGAAGAAGGAGGAGGAGGAAGTGGAGAAGAAGAAGGAGGAGGAGGAAGTGGAGAAGAAGAAGAAGAAAAAGGAGGAGGATGAGGTGAAGAAGAAGAAGAAGAAGAAGAAGAAGGAGAAAGAAGGATGAAGGAGTGGAGAAGAAGGAGGAGGAGGAGGAGGAGGAGAAGAAGAAGAAGAAGAAGGAGGAGGAGGAGGTGAAGAAGAAGAAGAAGAAAAAGAAGAAGAAGAAGGAGGAAGAAGGATGAGGGAGTGGAGAAGAAGGAGGAGGAGGAGGAGGTGAAGAAGAAGAAGAAGGAGGAAGAAGGATGAGGGAGTGGAGAAGAAGGAGGAGGAGGAAGTGGAGAAGAAGGAGGAGGAGGAGGTGAAGAAGAAGAAGGATGAGGGAGGAAGAAGGAGGAGGATGAGGAAGGAAGTGGAGAAGAAGAAGGAGGAGGAGGAGGAAGAAGAAGAAGAAGAAGAAGGATGAGGGAGTGGAGAAGAAGGAGGATGAGGAGGAAGTGGAGAAGAAGAAGGAGGAGGAGGAGGTGAAGAAGAAGAAGGAGGAAGAAGGATGAGGGAGTGGAGAAGAAGGAGGAGGAGGAGGAAGTGGAGAAGAAGAAGGAGGAGGAGGAGGTGAAGAAGAAGAAGAAGGAGGAAGAAGGATGAGGGAGGAGAAAAGGAGGAGGAGGAGGAAGGGAGAAGAAGAAGATGGAGGAGGAGGAGGAAGAAGAAGAAGAAGAAGAAGAAGGAGGAAGAAGGATGAGGGAGTGGAGAAGAAGGAGGAGGAGGAGGAGGAAGTGGAGAAGAAGAAGAAGGAGGAGGAGGAAGTGAAGAAGAAGAAGAAGAAGAAGAAGAATTACAACAAACAGTAGACGAACGATAGAATTTTTTTTTTTTTTCAATTACCGTAATGAAAAATAAACGTGGTGAAATAAAGGTGGGTTTAAAAGATTTACGAAAAGTACAGAAGGGAAAAAAATGAAAATGACATAAGGGGAAAAACGTATTTAAAAGCGAGTGATGGCTGCGTGCTAATGATATAGAATTCTTACACATAAAAAAAAATCATCCTATGAAGAAAGAATAGAATGAGAAAGACAAAAGTAAAATAGGTAAAAAAAAAAAAAAAAACTCTACTCGATTGAAACTTGATTGACTGATTCGTTTTCTACGGATTATCAACTTTTTGTGTGTTATTTAAAGCTAGAAAGTATTTTTTTTTTAAATTGTAAGAATGTTTTTGTTTTGTTTTTGTTTGGTGGCGGAAAATAATGATGATACAGATTTTACTAATTAACCCATAACGGGGGTGAGAAGTATTGGATTCATACCATTTCCCAAAGATATTTGCGCGTAAGTGAATATAATGAAAACCAAACGGGAATTTGATTAAGAATTCGGAGTCTTTATCCATTATACAACCTACACATCCATGTTTATATCACCTGGTATTCCCTTTGGGGAAACGAATCCCGGGGGTATGTGCTTTCTCTATCACTACAATCTTAATCTCTTCAATGCTAAGATTAGCCGTTATTTTTCCCACATATCCTAATAAATTACGCTTCTGGCCTCTAACTTTAAAGGCTTATACAACAACCTCCTTCAGTATCCATATACCGTGAGCAGTTCTTGAGCCATTTATTGTGAGAAAATTAGTTTAAAAAAAAAGTAAAATGGGAATATAATGAAAATAAAATATTTCGTGAAATGAAATGTTGGATTTTAATTTAATTTTAATTTAAATCTAATTTAATTTTAATTTAATTATAATTTTAATTTTAATTTAATTTTTAATTTAATTTTAAGTTTAATTTTATTTTTAATTTAATTTTCACTTAATTTTAATTTTAATTTAATATTTATTTTAACTTAATTTTAATTTTATTTAATTTTAATTTCATTTTAATTTTAATTTAATTTAAATTTAAATTTTATTTTAATTTTATTTTTAATTTCATTTTAATTTCATTTTTAATTTAATTTTAACTTTAATTTTGTTTTTAATTTAATTTTAATTTTAATTTCAACTTTATTTTTAATTTAATTTTAACTTAATTTTATTTTTGATTTAATTTTAATTTTAATTTTATTTTATTTTTAATGGTAAACAAGATATTAACAAAGGAACAGCTCCGCCTGGACTCCGAAATTTTATTCGCTAATTATTTTTCCTCTCCCAATAGAATTATATATGTTCGCCTATCGTATGGTTCACACTCCTTGCTGATCTTTTGTACAGGAGTAGAGGTTTATCCCTTGCTTCCACCATAGGAATGGGTTTCCTTCTAAACTCTACTTCAATTCTATACTTCTAACATCTCCGGCTGAATTCTGAAATTTTATTCACTAATTATCTAATTGTATTATTTTTTCCTGTCTCAATAGGAGTAGATAGGTCCGCCTATCATCCAGTTCACATTCCTTGCTTGTCTTTTGTACAGGAGTAGAGGTTTATCCATCGTTTCCTGATTAGGATTTGGATTCCAGTTTCTTCTAAAGTCTACTTAATTAGACTTCTAAACTCTCCGCCTGACACCTGAATTTTTAAAGTTATTATTAGATTTAGCTGATATATTTCCTGTATATCCCCCAAGAAATTCACTACTTGCGTTTTCTCACGGCCATACAACACCACGCTGTAACCCTCTACTTTGAGTGGCTCTTGAGCCTTATGTTGGGGGATCATTAGTAAAAAAAAAAAAAAAAACATAGAAAGAAGAAAAGAAGCAAAACTCAGGGGAAAAAAACTAAGCACCAGAATATTTAGTTGTTTTTATCCATTTCTATAGATCTCTATACCACCTAACAAGGTCCCTGCACGACACTTTTTCTATTTTATCACTGTCATTATAGCCTTACTACTCGGACACTGCTTTTATTTTAAAATCGTTTTTCTTTCGTTTTCTACTTCACTCTCAAATTTATTTGTCTAGTTTGTTACTGGCTTTTATTTCGACGTCGCCCGCTATGTCGCATACATTGGCATCCATGTAAAACACACACACACACACACACACACACATATATATATATATATATATATATATATATATATATATATATATATATATATTGCTTTGGCATCAGTTCAATCCTTGCCGGATCAACAAATCACTTGAGCGCTCACAGCGTCACCTCTTGACTACAGGAAGTTACTAACGTCGTAAGTAACGTTGTTAAGTTGCATCTTTAAAAAAGGAGAGAGAGAAATACAATGTCATGCAAATCCCCACAAAGAAATAAAATAAAGTAAATAAATAAATGAAATGGCTATTTTCCCCACTAAAATCATGGGAAATAAATATAAACATAGGAAAGATAGAAACGTGACGAGAAGGTGTGATACATTAACAGAATAAATATTACAGGTATATAAAACTAATTGTAAGATTACGTTGTGCAACAGAATTTTGAATTGTTTCTGTCTTTGGTCATTAAGTATTATTTCCTAAATGCCTGCCTAGAAAGCAAAGGAAACGACTGACGTTCCCTTCAAACTTTACTTTTGTGATCTGGACATCGATGTTTTGAAAGTAACTTATTTTCCAGTACAATCCTGACAGATTCATCGTTGAGTTGTTGAAGGAGAAATTTTTTAAAATTTCTGGAAAAACTTTCGAGAAAAATTTCTAGAGATCTTTTGAGATGTTTCTGAAAGGTTTAAGAATTTCTGGAACGTTCATGTTACATAGCTGGCATCTGCTGCTATCAAGGTTACCTGAACGTTCCAGAAATACAGGAAGTGTAAGCTCAGCAGTTTTGTTTACTTCTAGCTGCTCAGGTGCAGACACGTCATATGCATTCTAAAACTCTAGAAGGTAAGATGGAAGGATTTGCTTGTTTTTAAGTGTAAATGTTTTAAAATTGTTTTTAATTTTAAATATTTCTGCTTTCATTTTTTTTTTTCAATCCAGTGTTATTGAAAAATATGTAGTAAATATTTTAAACAAACGCGCATTAGTGTCTATAGTATGATCGATGTTTTTTCTATACTGGGCCACTGACAAGAGCCATAAAGATACGGAATATACGGGATGTTCAGTATTCAAGGTTCCTTATTTTATGACATTTGCTACATTAATTGTGTTCCTAAGTCAGAATTTTACATATCCAGCGCTCGACTTTTTTAGAATTTTTCAGTCATACTGAGTGAAAGATAATTTATTTTTATACTCAATTGTATTTTGTTCTTTTGCAGGATGGTACAGATCGGAAAACCGACCCATGAAACTCACAGTCCCACGTATTTGGAGAGAACAAACTGACCACCCAAGCAATTACTTTTCCTGCGTGGTTGACCCTTGCAAACGTCGAGTTGGCAAGAATGAGCCTGTTATCATATATGCAGACCATCTGTCATCCATCATCCCATTGCCATACAACTCAGTGCTCTCCGTATCTCCCCTTCCAAAGAGAGAACAGCCTTTCTTCAGAAGAGAACAGCAATTCAGAAGAGGGCGAAGATGCTGTTTCAGAAGAGAAACCCATACTGCCACAACCAAAAAGACTTCAACGACCTGATCAGAGATCTTGGTCTCACAATGTCTAATGCCGAGCTTTTGGCGTCAAGACTCAAGCAGTGGAATTTGTTGGGTCAAAGTATGCGAGACGCACGTCAGAGAAAGCGTCATCAGTGTTTTTCAAGCTTTTCCATCCGTGAAGAGAGATTTTGTTTCCACCACAATCTAACCTGTTCGGGGCAATTGGAATCGTCTATAACCCCATCGACTGACTTCTCATCGTCTATTTCTCATCCCTCAGCCTCAAAGCCGTGCTGCTTCATAACTGGGATATGTATCCTCTTGGCTCACTCGGTGTAGCACAAAGAGGAATACTGTAGTGTCAAGATCTTGCTAGATACCTTGTGATATGAAGAATACAGTTAGGAGTTCAAAATTGTGGCCTTCCTAGTTGGTCACCAAGGCGGCTTTATCAACTTACCATTATATCTTTGCCTTTGGGACAGCAGGGTCGGCCTACTCACACAGGAAAGACTGGCCTAAGTGGATGGATTTCAGTGTGGGGAGGAATAATGTAAAATGGGAGCAACGGTTGGACCCACGGAAAGCATTTTTTAATTCACGGCACTTTAAACTGGGCCTTAGGAAACGATTTTCCACAGGTCTAGATAAGGAGTGTGCAGCTATCAAGTACCTTCAAGACTTCTTAAGTTGTCTTCGGCAAAAGACAGTGTCTTAGTCGGACAAATAAAGATCACTGAGTGCAAGAAATTCACCAAGAAGCTCACTAGGACGGAGAAAACAGCGTGGGACAGATTTGTCGCTGTGATTTGGGGCTTTCTGTGGAAGCACAAGGCCGAAAACTACGGAGAGCTTTTTGAAACCCGGGTGAAGGACTACGGTAAAATGGACTGCAATATGTCACTCAAAGTCCATCTCTTTGACGTTCATCTTGATAAATTCGAGAAGAACACGGGGACGTACAAGACAAGGGCTTCCACTATGACATACTAGACACTGAACGCCGCTATCAAGGACTGTATAAGGAAAATATGATAGGAGACTATATTTGGGGGCTGATTCTTGAAACCTATTTGCAGTATAATCGTAAATCTCGAAAAGCTACGCACTTCTAATTTTTTGTGGTCTCTCTTGTGGAATCCTAAAATAAATAAAGGCTTCTTTTGAATCATATGTCGTTTTTCCAATGGGAATATTTAAATTTCAGAAATATCATTATCCTGGTCACAAAAACAAATTTGAAAGAAATATTAGCCATTTTTCATACATTCCAGGCGTAAGCGAATAGGAAATAACACTTGCTACCCAAAGACAAAATCGTGTTACAGAGTGTATAAATCAATACTAAAATCTTTACATTGAATGTGTCAATATTCATTTTTTTTTTCTTCTTTTAATGATAAGTTCAGTAAGTCCCCGGATTACGACCTACGACGATTCGTGTTTACGACGCAATTTCCATTAATCTTGTTTTGACATGCCGTTTGTCTCTTACATAGACGTAAATCAGTCCCGGTTATACGCCATATTGGATTGTTGCGCATTCGCTCACTTTCGTTTTTGTTGTATTTGTTGAAACGTATTGCACTTCATCATGGCTGCCATATGCATACTGTAACTGCTTCTAATGGGGGTGCTTTGCGGAAAAAGAAAGCCATCAATATTAGACATTGTTAAACGCTCTGAAAAGGGAGAAACAGCGACAAAGATTGGCTGTTTGCTAGGCTTAAGTCTTTCGACTGTCACTTAAAACATGTATATATGTCTATACATATTGAGTTTCCTTGTAAGAGATAAAGACTTATTTCGTTAAAATATAAGTTGGTGAATTCTTGAAAAAAAAAGAAAATTTCATTTTCTTTCTTCCCCAGATTTGCTGCTGTTTCCGAATACTTCAAGAGAGAGACAAAATCTTTCACTTCATCTCATCTACCGAGAGCCAATGACATCACTGGCAATAAATATACAAGCAGCTCAAAACAATTTAATTTCATTAAATATATTAATTTAATTTAATTTAGTTATATGTAGTATATTTATGTCCATTTATTTTAGTCCTAACAATGTTAATATGTCATAGAAATGCGTTGATATGTCCTGGATTATCACTTTGCGTATGCATAGACATAAGTGTTTATCCACGGAAAATCGAAAGTATGATCCGACTTATACGAAAAATTGTTTACGATGCATCGTAGGAATGGAACACGGTCGTAAGTCGAGGACCCCCTGTATATACATGTACTGGGACGTGCTCGTAGATTAGCGGCCATTGAGGTGAAAAGTGGGATCAGCTAATGGACGTCAAATTCCTGCCAATATTGTGTTCACATCCGTATATATATATATATATATATATATATATATATATATATATATATATATATATATATATGTGTGTGTGTGTGTGTGTGTGTGTGTGTGTGTGTGTGTCAATGTTGCGTTCATATCCGTATATATATATATATATATATATATATATATATATATATATTCATCCACAGGCAGACTGTTTCGCTGTAGCACAGCTCATCAGTGTGGCTAGACGTCCGGTTGCCTCTAGCTAGGATCGAAACCTGACTGAATTGGCGTCAGTCGGGGATTCTAGCAGTAAGCCATTCGCACACGGCAGGGATGAAGGTAAATAAGCACACAGTGACTGAGAGAACTCGATTCGATTTACCGAACAGTCTTGCATTATTAGCCGTAATAGTCACTGTTTACAAACTCACACTTCCTCCCCAGAGAGCTCAACCGAAATAAATTTTTCAGGGGCACATATATATTATTCATCACTACTCCCCCTCACACTATCTATTGTTTATATAAAAAACTAGTCAGCCTAAAGAACTCAATTTTGAAACTTAACTCCAAAATGTACTGACTGCCAATATTGTTCTTATATGGTAGCACAAGATTCCTAGTACATCCTTTCGTTTATCGCTATCTTCTACTAGTCTATTTGCAATAGTGAAACTAGCTTATTCTTATCAGTTACGATTTCTCGTTACAGTTTCTGCAAAAAACTGGATATTTTAATCTGCCATCTTTGTTTGTCGTGGCAGCAAACGCCTTATAGCTTGCACGGGTAATACTCTGTAGGAAACTGTTATGGTCATTTACCCACGCACGCATGGACTCTCCCAGCTATAAATAGGAGCAGTTACTGCCTTTTGGAGAGGAAAGTTTCCAGGGGTCAGCCCTGACAGTCGGACCGAACATTCTTGCTGTAACACTCTCGTTTGTATATGATTTGCATTACTGTTTCTGTTAATATATTTGTTTAACTCAATTCCTCTCTTTGTGTTTTTATTTCTGGCCCTAACAAGGCCACAACAGAACCGTAGACAAATTCCTACTAGCAGAGGATTTTTCTTTCTGAAGAAGCTTATGAACGACAGCTTATGTCATTCTATATAATAAACAGTGACAAATACCTTACACATATACAGCTCAGAAATACCTCATAATGGTAGAGGAAGACACCATTACGACTACTGTCTTGCCATTATATGAGAGGTATTTCTGGGAGGTATATGTTGGAGTTATTTCTGCCACCCATTGCATTTAGTGAATACCAATATTTGAGTAGACGCTCCGTTTATTTGAAGCACTATATTTATTATCGCCTACTGGCCTGAATATTCAAGAAATCTTATTAAAATTTAAAACCTGCCTGCCACTTTGCAGAGGAAAGGCATTTGGCACGTAAAAGGATTATTCGGACTTGTTTAATCGGCGACTCCCTTTGTGACCGAGTTGGTTAAAACCACGTCGGACTTAACGATAGTTTCTCCTGCAAAACGAGACGCAGGTTCGAATCCTGATAGAGGGCGCATCTTTTTCATTAATAAGATTTCCCGAATGTTCAGGCCGGCAGACGAAAATAAATAAATATATTGTTTAAAATAAACAGAGCCTCTAGTCAAATAGGAGTATCCACTAAATATGGCGTTTAAAGTGATAAAAAATGACAGAGAGTAAAATCATGATACATATGATTTTTTAAAGTTAGGTAAAATATTCCAAAACGAATTGTACTTTCCAAGAAAGCCTATGTTGAACATAAAATAAGTAATTTAATTAATAATTAGGTTTAACATTTAATTTTATTTATTACTGTTAATGCGCTATCTCTGTCTATATTTTTTAGATGACGTAATGTAATTATTCACATTGTTTACATCGTTCGAACTTTTGTCCTCAAATATGGCCAATGGACAATACGAAAACTTCAGCACACATGCTATGCCACAGAAATCTCCTAAACCGGTCAAGCATCAAAATAAATACAATATGGAAAACCAGTAATACGAAGTATTAGAGAAAAGCAATAATAACAAAATTTTAATATGAGCCCTGGTAAAAAAATTGGATTGCTAAGACATTAGGTTTATAAGTCCCAAAAAATCATGCACTGGTGTCCTCAAGGACAATGGATAAAAGCGTTGGTTGGAGCCAGGGACTTAACCCAAAGAGTTGTGAGTTCAATACCTAGCTACAACAGAGTTGAACAAAAACATGGAGATTTGACTTAAAGGGAGATAACTGATTCTGAGACACTCAGAAGTGGTCTGGTAGTACGTGGAACTAGAAAAATCTACCGCGATGGAAGAAATAAAGGGTTTGGTTCGAAATTTCAATCACCTGAAGAAGGCCGGAGTGTGCAGCGGTCGAAACGTCGTGAATATGGCAACGAAGATGAGCAAAACAGTCCGAACGATGTAAATGATGGTCTGCCTCTTGATATTGAGCAGGTTAATTACAAATGCCGCTTAAAATCGTTATCTTTCAGAAATAAGCGAGTCAGACATTTCTAGGCAAAACACAATTTCTCTCTCTCTCTCTCTCTTTCTCTCTCTCTCTCTCTCTCACACACACACACACACACACACACACACACACACACACATATATATATATATATTGGTAGTATGTTTTATTAAGACATGTTTCATTAAATAATGTAAACAAGTTTTTTACGTGAGGATCATATTAAAAGTAGACAAAACTTGTCTAAATTATTTAATGAGACGTGTCTTAATATACATATACATATATGATCATAACAATTGTCATATATATATATATATATATATATATATATATATATATATATAACAACTTAAAAGAAACTGTTTGACCAACACAAGGGCTGACCAAAATTCATGTTAAATTAAAAAAAACAAATGAAAACTACAGATAAAGTTCTTTTTCTCTATCAAGTCATTCATTTCTGAAGTTGACTGCTACTAACAAGCAGAATTTTTTCTCCTGATGATGACCATGTTGGCCGAAACTATTTGAAGAATCTAACTGAAATAATAAAAACGAAAAAAATATTAATATACAACCCAGTGTGTCTGAAGATTATAATTTTTTTAAAATATTTTTTATTGTTTCCAAAATGTATATATATATATATATATATATATATATATATATATATATATATATATATATATATATATAAATTGTTCTGATTAACTTTCCTCCTTGGTACCTAGACTTTATGAATTTAAGCGTACTGCTGGATTGGCGGTGAGGTCTCATTTTTCAGTTGAAATGGCTATATTTAACCATAAGTTCTATGCTAACAATTTTGTTCTCTCTTATTTTTCACTTGTGTAACTCTCTTCCGGTTTCTTGTTTCCCAGTCAAATTTGGTCTTTAAAATTTTAAGTCAATATCAATCATTATATTCTGTCTTCTTAATTCCTGTTCTTTTATCGTTCTCTCTCCTTAATAATGTTTTCTTTTACTTATATTCTCCCACACACAGTAACCACAACCCACTTGCATCTTGTTTGTCTTCCTTGGAGGTGAAATGATTAAAAAATGTTTCTTTAAAGATGACTTATAAAAAGTAGAGAGATTTTGAAAATTTCAAACAGCAATAGCAAAAATGAGTATCACATGTATCTAGAATATAAAAATAATGATATGGTCATGATGTTCACCTACCACACTAGCATAAACAAAAGGTTAGGAGGGAAACTACTAGAAAGAGCGATAACAGATAATGGACTAGAGATGTTTATTCTCCAGAACAACTTTTTAAGAGAAAGATTTTATAAATTTCAACCAACAGTAACGCTAATTATTCGGTCAATTGATGCTGAATGTTTCCTGTGTGGAAACGGCTATTCTCATCATTACCATTACCGAAAATAATACTCCAAATTTTCATCCATCTTTTCCTTCTTTTCTTTCATTTTCTCCCTTTTCTTTTTCCTCTTCCCATATTTTCTCTTTTCCTCTTTTACCTTCTACCTTTTCTTTCGACATTTTCTCTTTTCCTTTTTCCTTCCCCTCTTCCTTCCCCTATTCTTTCACCTTCGTCCTTTTCTTCTTCTTCTTCCTACACTTTCTCTTCTTACTGTTCTTTCCCTTTCTCTCTATTCTCCATCTTGTTCTTTGTCCGACATTTTCTATGTTTCACTTCCTCCTCGCTCTGTTCTTTTACATTCTCCACCATTTCTGCTACCTCTTCTACCATTTTTTTTCTTACCCTTCTTTATACATTTTCCCTATATTCTCTTCTTCTTCTTCTTCAACCTTCTTTTCATTTCCTTCTTCTTCCGCCACCGTCTGTCCTTTCTGTACACCCTCCTCTTCACAATCATCTTTCGACTTTATTTTCATTTTTATTCTTCTTCCCCTTCTTCCACGTCTTCATCTTCTTTTTCTTCGTTCTATTTTTCCTTTTCGCCTACCTTACTTATATAGTCTTCAGTTCCACCATCTTTTCTTCTTCTCCCTCTACGTTTTCTTTTGCCTTTTCTTTTACTTTCATCTTCTCTTCTTTCTCTTCCTACTTATCTTCTTCATCATCCTCTTGCTCTTCTTTCTACTTCTTCTTCTTTATCATCTTCTGCCATCATTAATTCATTCTTGCCTTCTTTTTCTCCATCCACTTCTTGTTCTTTTTACTCGTTTTCTTTTTCCTTTTCTTCTATCTTCTTTTCTCTCTTCGTCATCGTTCTCTTCTTCCACCTTTTATTCTTTTTCCTCGAATTCTAATTATCTTTTTTCCTTTACTTCCTCCTCCTCTTTTTTCTCTTTCTACTCCCCTTCTCCCTGTTCCTCTTCCATCTTCTTCTTCATCTTTTTCATTCATTAA